TTGGGCGGGATGGAGGCCGAATTATGGGCGGGAACACTGTTGCGTTTTTTTCAGTCTGCATTCCCTTTTCCTTTTTTCCTTTTTGTTTTTTTTTCCATTCCTTTGGGCGGGAAATTGGGGCGGCATTTTAAGCGGGCAGCTATCCTTCTTTAATATAGTAAATAGATTTTTTAATTATTATTTTTTAAATTCATTTTTATTCACAAAATAAAATATTTTGTAACAAATAAGTGAAAAAACTCAAATTAGGAAATTAATAAGCGAATTCGGAACAATTCGTAATCCTTAATCTGCCACGTAAAAGGATTCGCAGCCTTCATCCAAAATTATTTGATCTCGTGACCGTTACGTTAGGACAGGGCTCGATTCTCTATCTACTAAACGCAGTAATGTGTGGCTAAACTCTTCTTCCTCTCCTCAGCTCAAATTCCACCTTAAATTACTGTTTTTAATATGGATTCCAAAAAGGACAATTTCCAATATATTTATCTTTGAGAAAGGATCTGCTGCTCCTGCTTCAACAAAGTCGCTATGTTGGATTCAGTAACGTATTGTTACACTCCCAGAGTAAGACTCTTTACTGCCACAAATTTCAGCAATTCGTCATTTTTAATCTGGGTTACAATGGGGTTGCCTGTCATACATTTAATTGTGAAATTTGAGTCCAGTAGATTAGAGAATTAAAGGAATATTCTTTACTTCCATAAAGTTCTTAATTTCTGAGACTGATAATCTTGTTTTCTTTGTATATTTGCTTCGTTAGTCTTTGTTAAGTCGTGGTGCCTGTGCAATATTTTTATTTGTAAATTGTTGATTCTTGGCTGAGTTTTGAATTTTCACTTTGTTGAGTCCAGTAGATTCAGACTCTGTAAACCAAGCCAATCTGTGGCCTGCTTTACGATAATGAAACCAACTAGAGTAACTTGTTGAAGGAAATTTTGCTATGCATATATCATAACTATGTTTTTTTGTTGTTCGTATTGGTAATATTTATATTCTTTTTGAGAATGTGTTAGTTCATCTATGATCCCTGCAGTTCCAAATTTCTTTGTGTAGCACCAATTTCTTGCTGGATTTTAGAATAAAAAAGATACTTCAGATAATACTTACTTTATGCCTAGAACCAAGAAGCAAATTTTATATATATTTATCAGGAAGGATTGGAGGCTACTTTTATGTATGAACATTGGTGAAACAATAGTAGTGGCACTGTTGACATACAAAAAATGTAGCCCAAATTGAACACTCCAAGAAATGAAGCCCAATTAGGAAATTTAGGATGAAGGCCCAAATAGGACCATTGTGGAATGCAGTGAAGGACCTCGAATCAAACACTCTCAACAGAGAATATGTAATTTCATTTCTTAGTTAACTTTAAAATATCTCTTCTTAGTAACTCGTGTGCTTGTGCCCCTAGGAGGCATTCTGTTTCTTTCCAATTGTAATTTTCATCAATAAAGCACCCATTTTTGAGATTTTGTCTCAAGAGGTTTATTCCTTGCACAATCGTCTGAACCTTTTTTAATTGTTAGCGATAACCCGCGCGAAACAGATACATTGCCATCAACATTGGTGATACTTTGCTTCCCTCCTTTGGTTGTTATGCTACTTTGTGTATAAACTGTCTTGTCTCGATTTCTGCCGTGGTAGAACTTTTGTGATTTCTTTGCAGTAGCTCTGATAGATCTGCAATATTTTGCATTTCATTCTTATGTATTTTCCCTTTTAAATTGTATTTCTTAATTGACCAAGTTGGCCTAAATCTGTTGGGAAGAAGCTTAGTTTGTTATATCTCTTGATTGTCCAAATGTAGATTAGATAAGTACTATGGCGACATTTCTCGAATCTGAGGCAAGAATTATTTATAAATTCTCATAATTATCTATGTTCACATGCAGGGTAGTGACATTATATTTCAGACTAGCTCCTTTAGAGCTATTTCTTATACTCCATGTCCATGTCGACACTATTTCAGTGTCTCACGTGCTTACAACCAGTTATTGCAAGTCCGACCAGTGCCCATACATCAGAAAATATATTATCATCTTCCCTACAAAACACACAATGTCCTCAGGGGAACACTTTTCTCATCTTACTCTGTTGCTGGTAGAAAAGAATTTTCCTGTTTCAACTCTAGAGAGGTTCGGAAGGTGAGATTCAGGATATGTGCAACACTTGACGTTGCCGGTGCTGTTGATGTCATAAATGATTTGGGACTAGACACCCTCACATTCTTAGCAGTGACTGTACTGATAGTTCCTGCTTTCAAAATGGTCAAAGCTAGCCCTGTAAGTTAACTTCACTAATCAGAGTCTTAACATTCTTAGTTGTGAGCACACGTGTGTTCCCATATGTTTGTTGGTTTCACTTTGATACAAGTGAAATGTAAATTACTATTCTGTAATTTTGAAAACTCTTAATGATACTGCAATTGTTTTGTCATTTATTTTTTCTTAAATCACATGGTATTTGTTTCAGATACTTGGTTTCTTCTTTGCGGGAGTCGTGCTCAATCAATTGGGCCTGATTAGAAATCTTATAGATGTTAAAATTCTATCAGAATGGGGGATTCTCTTCTTGGTAAGCTTAGTGATGTTTCTTCTTTTTACTTGTTTTCACCATCTGTGAGCCCAAAAACAATCATGATTAGTGATACCCAAGCATCCACAAAATGCATGAATATTTGACTTTCTGCCCCATTTTCCTTTTCATGCCTCTATTGTTATCATCATCTTTATCCTCCCGATCCTTCTCATGTTTTTGCATTATTTCGAGGAAGAAAGGCGCCAGCTTATAACGATCAGATCACATGGGATAAAAGGACTCAAAGTTGTTTATAATAGATGCTCTATGAAATTGACGTAAATCTGAAAGAATCAAATTTTGCATGACTGACAACTAGGCACCCACAAAATATGACAAAAAGCCAAGGCAGGTCATTCTGGATGACTGTGAATCGTAATAATTCAAAATCCTATCTTTTGAGGATTGTGAATAATTACTGGTTCTGTCATGGAATTTCAAATTTCCTCATCTGCGAGTGTCATATGATTCCTTACAATTGCCAAAAATTATTTGGGACACCTTTCTAAATTCTCAGTGTTTAATAGGTATGATGTCATAACAAATTGTGTGTACATTATAGCATTTTTCTTATATGAGTTACTTCCATTTTGTGGCTCTATGAAATCTTAACTAATAGATGCTTTTTTGTAGCTGTTTGAGATGGGGTTGGAGCTTTCACTTGCACGATTGAAAGCTCTTGCCAAATTTGCATTTGGCATGGGACTAAGTCAGGTACATCTCGACAAATAAGCTGTAGCTAATTGTCGATAGGAGATTAAGTAATTTAAAATCATATATAAATGGAAGTTTGTTTTATCCTATTTGTCTGAGAGTTGGATACCATAAGCTGTTAAGATTAAGAATATGGGCAAACTTTCAACAATTGGATGTTCTTCTCAGAATTTAGCAAATGGACCATTATTATTTTGACTATTTTGCTGTTGTCTGCGGTACCGGCTTACTTCTAGACAGTGCCTAGGATCTAGAGTGTTTGAATGTGATATATATTTTTGGATGCAATCTCAACCCAAAAGCTTAAAACTTGCTAGTCTTAGGTCCATCCACTTATATATACTCACTTTTCTAATGAAGTACAATTTTTCTCACATTGGAACCTCCAAATGTATGGGAATAAGACTTAGTTTTTGTTGTTTCTGATGTTGTTGGGACCTCTTGGGCCTTGGCCATATTTTGGATTTCTCCCTTTGTCATATGTCATGTAAATTTCTGTTACTTGTGGAGACAAAAGAATGTTAAAGATGTTCGGCCCTTTATGCTGTATTGTTGGATCATATTGTAATATAAAATGACTTTAATATTTGCTAATTTTTTCCTGGTTTCTTTCTGTTGAAGGTTTTGTTATGCACTCTTGCTTTCACAGCATTTGAGCTTCCACCAAATAATGCAATTGGAACGAGAATCTTGGAGTTTCTTTTTCACTCAAGACCTGACTTGGTGAGAAACTTTTTCCACTAATCAACTTTGCATGTTGACAATGACTTGTTACGAAAGAAGCATGTGTGGTAATGGAATCTTACTTGAGGGCTGTAGCTTTGTTCACTTGTCATTTTACAGCCTCCTATTAATGGTTTGTGTGCCTATTCAATATTTTAAGATGTTGCATTATTCTGAGTTAACATGTTGATTAGGTTTATCACTATTACTATCTTTATAAACTCTACATGATAGTATTGACATACTGAAGTAATTAGTTGTGTGTCTAATGGTGTGAATTGAGCTAGGCCTGATTTTCCAGTTGCATTAACCATAGTTGAAAGTAACTGAAGATTTGATCATTTCAGTAAGAAAACAATTTGACGATCATGCGGTAAAAAAACATGCACGTTTCTATTTTATAGCATTCTAATAATCTTTACTCCTACTGGTCACAACATTTTTTTGCTACTCCATTTCCTCTTCTGCAAGGAGAATTAAATCTATACTATACATAAAGTCCCTATGTCGGAGATATTTTTGGATGATAATGCCTTCACACTAATATTTTAAAATTAAATGCTGGTGTATTTTCCACTCAAATTTTATGACATGTCATTAAAGTAATTAAAAATATATAAGTGGACATTGACTGGTGATTGGTCATTTAGCTGAATATAAGGTTACGTGCTGGTACAAATTTATTAGAGCAACTTTATTTTTTTTTGGATGCTCAAAGCCTATTCCTCTATTATTTGAAGTTAGTAAAATAACTTTGTGGAATTCGTAAGTTTCATCAATCAATCAACTAATATATTCCCGCGTTACAATCAAATTATCAATCAGAGTATGATAGAATTTATATTTCCAGTAGCATTGCAGCATCCTAGATTAATGAGTTTTAAAATTTCAAGAACTCACAAAATTTGAACAAAACTCCAAGACATGCACCATCCACCTTAAATTAAATAGTTTGCACTCGTGCCTACTGAAATTTTGAGTAGAAATCAATCAATTTTTTTAACGAAATTTTGAGTAGAAAGCAATTTTTTTTGTAAAGAATTTTTGAACCTATTCCATGTCGTAGGAAACAATATTTATCACTCTGCAAATTCGAGCATTTATCTTGAATATCACAACTTTTAGAACACCCGCATCCATATGTAAATTGTCTGGACCTTATTTTCAGAAGTGAAAAATCAATCTTTTTCAATATTTCATTGTTTTTCTTGAATTTCCGGGCAAATGGATGATTTCTTAGGACAAAGTTTTTGTAATGTCTTAATCGAAGTGACCTTGGGGGTCTCCTTTAGAGGAATGGATTTAATAAAATATAGAATAGCGATTGAACTACTATTATTTAGAAATTTTCATCAAAACACAAAATTCTTAACATCATTACAAATTATGTGCTCTTGACTAGCACGTTTTAATCCTTTTATTGCTAAGAAGATGATTAACAATTTTCATCTTTTCCTTCGTTGGGGTTGGTGGGAATTGTAATAGTCGTCGCTTTATTTGCATTGAAACTTATGACAATCTGAGATTATTTGTGTTTGGAATCCTAGATTTGGTGAGTTTCACATTCGTGTGTTAGGAAATTCATCTTTTGCAAAATGAAATTTGCACTTAACATCTTAATGATAATACAAGTCATCAATGCAAAGTCGTGTCAAAGATTGAGCCCTCGTTTGATTCCCATTTTTTTCAAAATACATTTTTCTCTCTTTTCTTTTCAACCACACATTTTTCGATAAAATAATATTACACACAAACCTAAAACTTTTCCTTAATTTTTAACCACATATTTTCCATCAATCTATTATTCCAAAATACATTTTTAACTTTTTAATGGGACTCAAACGGGCTATAAAACTCTAAAGGGAACACTGAAATCAGTAGCATTAACTTGCGCGATCCAAAATAGGCAAAGGCCTTGTTTGGGATTGACTTTAGAGCTCGACTTCTAATTATTGGACAAGCTTAGGTGTTTGGTAAAATTAAGAAACGTGGTTTCAGAAGAATTTGTATCATCATTTAAATTTATTTTAATATTTTTCTACTATATGGACTATGTTTTATTTTGTAATTTTAGAAATTTTGAGATTTAATATATATGATTTTTTTTTTCTCATTTTAAGTAAATTATAGTGACTACATTGTCTTAACATATTATTTGATAACATTATATATTGTGTTAAAATTTGAGGTTCTATTTTAAAAGGTCAACTTTGTTAAGAGGAGTAGCATAAACTCTTATAAATTGGTTTTGTGTTTTCATCTTTATTCGATGTGAGATTTTATCCCTTAACATGCTCTCGTTTAAGCAGACCAATCTTAAAATTCATGTACTCAATTTTTTTTTTTATAAGTCTTAACCGGATCGAATTGCTCGTTAGAGCTTAATGGGCTCTGATACTATAAAGGTTTTGGTAATTAATCTCTCATGATTTATTTCTTTGTGTATCGTGTTACATTTATAGGAAAACTATACATAATTCTAGGAACTAAAAATATAACCGAAAGATTTAGATATATCAAAATATGAACTAACTAAAACTAATTCCTAGATATGTGGGATTCAAATTTGACTTCCTGTTGACTAAATCAATCCAGATCTGCAACATATTGTCATACGTTTAAATAAATTTACGATAATAATACAAAATTACATTATTATAATCCATGTGCATATTAGCAATAGTATGAACATAGAACAATAACTTACATTTTTCTACCAAACACTAAAATGCTAATTTTTCAAATGTAACAACAATTTTGAAACAAAGTTAACCAAAGACTTAACCAATTCTTCCTGCAGATTCTTTCTACCGCACATCAAAAGCTGATTCTCTTAAAATCACAGCAATATAAACCAAGCCAAATTAAACATTATGCTAGTTCACTTTTTTTCTAGTTTTCTTCATGGATTTCTTTGGTATGGCAGTCTTTTATGATTACATATTTGAGCCGTTATAATGTACAACGGATTGTGATTTTCCAAATCTGGCTGCAGTCAAGGATTACAATTTATGCATTGGTATCACATTTGTTTATTATTAAAATTCATTCATTTGTACATGGTAATTTGTGTTGCACCATAATCTTTCTGTTTTATCTGTATGTTGCTTTCGAAAATTGCAGGTCAATATCAGAAGCGTCGATGAGGCTGTAGTAATTGGAGCTGCTCTTTCGTTGTCTTCTTCAGCTTTTGTTCTTCAGGTATTTAGATTTAAATGCCTTCTAAACTGTTCCTTGGCTGCAATTGGTATCTGCTATTAGGAGAGCAATCTACTCATCACCGTATATTATTCTGCAGCAGGCTGGCCATATCATCTATTCATTTTTCTGTTTCTTTTAAGATTTGTAATTTTAAACTTGTCTGACACGTGATGAATGTATTCAACATTGTTGAGAACGTATACTGCATTTTAGGCTGAAAGTGATATCAGTCAAATTGCACAATGAGAGTTGCAAGATTCCACTGTTTTGAGAGGGAATGTGGGCATATTTTCCACCGACCGGTCCTTCGATTTAATTGGTTCGCGTAATCAAATGCCAAAATATGCATGCTTTCCTGATTCTGAAGTCTTTCTTTCTTTTCTTTTCTTTTTTTTTTTGCTTTTTTCTTTTTGATGGCGTTCTTAACTGGATCTTTTTCTCGTTCTCCTGTTGATTGAATTTGCATTGAATGATATGACATGGTAGTAGAAGTATAGGGACATTGCTTGAGAATGGGCTGGTGGCATTATTCTTTTCTTTGTTGCAACTTCTTTAAGGTAATGGCATTATTCTTACATGTAATTTATAGCTTCTCGCAGAAAGGGGAGAACTTCCTACTAGATTTGGTTCAGCAACCCTAGGGGTACTTCTATTGCAGGTTCTATATACCCTTTTTATAATTTTACACCTTAAATTTTTTTTCCCGAAATCAGTTTCTATTCCCCGTCTGTTTTCCTGAATTGGCTATGGCTGGTCATGCATAGTGCATTAAAAAGTATCAAGTCAATAACCTTTTTGGGTCCCTACTGGTTGATATTTGCAGGACATAGCAGTTGTCCCTCTCCTTGTCATACTACCAGTGTTGGAGAGCCAGGTATGTTGAGTGTTGAAAAGGTTGAATCATGAAAAGAGTTTCTTCAAACTAATATTTAGTTCATTTTTCTTTTATATTGGGAGCATGGTTCTCTTTCTCAGGGTTAAGGGAGAGGGTAAGAGCAATCAGTCTCTTTCTTTGAAGTTGGAAAAACTGTTTATTTATTGAAATCTCATTGCATTTGCCTTCTGGTTAACATTTCAAGTATGCACAAAACTGTAGTCAATGTTCCTCACTATCCAAGATACATGGATTAAGGGCCTGATCAAGGGTTGTGGTTACTATGAATGACTGAAATTAGGTCATTGAGTATTACGGGAATGATATGGCAGGGATGTTCAGTATTTAAGCATGGTCACCAATGAACTTTCAACCTTATTAATGGAATGCAGATATGTTTGTGCATTTTGCAGCATGCTGTCAACATGTTTCAACTGTTTGCATTCTTATTTTGTTTTAATGTTTGCTGATATTAGTTTCTCTCGCATAACATAACTGCACCAATTTCAAGTCAACAGATAATTTACAGCTTTGAAATCTACCATCTGCAGAATTTGGTGGAAGAAAGTATCTGGCCAATGCTTGCCAAAGAAAGTTTAAAAGCTTTAGGTGGACTAGGTTTGCTTTCTCTAGGAGGAAAATACCTTCTGAGGCGAGTGTTTGAGGTGTGCAAATTTGGACGAAATAAAGATCCAGACTGAGCTTAGTTTTGTGATGTAGAAAGTAGAAACTGAATTATTTTTGTTGATACTAGGTTGTTGCAGACACAAGAAGTTCAGAAGCTTTTGTTGCTCTCTGCTTACTGACTGTAGCAGGGACGTCACTTTTAACGCAGAAGTTGGGCTTCAGTGACACGGTGGATATACTTTCCTCAAATATGAATGGATAAGGCAGATTGAAATAATTGAGTTGATATATTTCTGTTTATGTTGTGGATTTACAGCTAGGAGCTTTTCTAGCCGGGGCTATTCTGGCGGAAACAAACTTCCGTACACAGATTGAAGCTGATATAAGGCCATTCAGGGGATTACTTCTTGGGTTATTTTTTGTGACAACTGGGACTTCTATTGACACCGAGGTATTAATGAACTCTGACATCATACATTATATACCCTCTGAGGTATTAATAGATTCTGATATGGGTTCATAACACATGCTAACTAATGTAGTACATAATCACGATTAGTAATTTTTTCCTAAAATTGTGATTTATCTTTTCTAATTCTAATAAGTTTTATCTTTTTATTCTTATTTCTTGTTTAGAATATGATTTCTTTTATTTATTGATTAGAATAGGATTTCTAATTAGATTATAATTTTATTAGTTTCCTTATTTTAATTTTCTATTATTAGTAGAAGTAGGAAATAATATTGTCTATAAATATAAAAATATTGTACACTTTTTGGATAATAATAAATTATTATTCAATATATACAAGACACGATTATTCAAATATCATTCTTATTATAAGAATTTCACATACGCTTCCTCACCAGTAAACTCACCATGTACACCTTACAACTTGTTGCAAATTGCTTAAACTGTTTGACTTTGTCATTGGTTTTCTTAGTGAATGGTTCTTGCATTGTTTATATTTTGGTAAGAGTTCAAGTTTTGGAAATCTATTTATCTTCTTTACATGTGCACTTAATCTATGCAGCTTCTTTTGCGAGAGTGGCCAAATGTATTTTCGCTGTTGGGTGGTTTGATTGCTATCAAGACACTAATTATAACAGCAATAGGTCCCCGAGTTGGATTAACTCTCCAAGAGAGTGTAAGGATAGGCTTGCTACTTTCCCAAGGAGGCGAATTTGGATTTGTAGTTTTTTCTTTAGCAAACAGGCGAGTCATGATCTACATTGCTCGAATATACTCTTCTTTGTCTAATCATTAAGGTTTTCTTTTACAGTTAATTTTTTCCGTTCATTATAGGCTTGGGGTGCTGCCACTTGAACTGAATAAGCTTCTAATAATTGTCGTCGTCATGTCTATGGCACTTACACCCTTACTCAATGATATTGGACGAAAGGCAGCTGATTATATTGGTGAGAAGTTTGAAGATGACAATGTAAGTCGCTGGACTGTACTGAGTCTCATTATACAATAGTTTTGTAAGAAAGTTACTGTTCAATAGAGAAGGCGTTACGTGCTTTTGCCGGTGAACATTTTATTGTTAACATTAGTGTCGAAGGGGATGCAAGCCATATATAATAAGATGACATTAGATCTTCTCATTATCACCAATTATTATACCATTATATTTACTCACAATTAGAAAGTCACAGGTCAATCATCCTGATATGACAAAATCTTGATCCGAATCCCTTAGTGATAGTATGAAATATCGGTTTGTTTCTTGCATGATGACCCTTTCGAAGGGAAACTCGGAGAAAAGTTTGTATCACAGTTCTGAGGCAGCTGTCATGCTCCTCTACCTTAGACATTCTATTGACAAGAAGATATTTGAGACATACAATTGGAATTCTTTGATTATTGTATAATTTTTTTTCTCTATCTACCAGATATCGTCAAATCTCTTTCTTTTTGATTTCTTGACTGAAAATTATGCTGACGCAGAAAACTGCTGACACAGTAAACTTTGATGCTAGTGAGCCAGTTGTTATTGTTGGGTTTGGGCAAAAGGGTCAGGTAAGCTACTCTGTCAGCCGCCTTTTTAGCTGAAACAATGTTATTAGTTTAACTAATTTAACCTTGCTCCTGTAAAAGGTTCTTGCCAATTTCTTGTCCACTCCATTGCTAGATGGTGACACTGGGGGATGGCCTTATGTTGCTTTTGATCTTGACACTTCTGTTGTGAAGGCAAGTGCTGCTAAAGTCCTAATAGAGTGGAAAATAAAATTCTCATTTTCCTAGTGAAGAGATCATAACTTGTATGCTCCTTCCTGTATGGATCATCTTTAGTTGTTGGTTGGATATAGTTTTATTCACATAATTGTTCATGAGTTTGTGTCTATTTTTGCTTCAGTGCCAAATCATGCCTCACTCTTTTCTTGGCTCTCACAAACTTTCCAGTTTCCACTTAGCATAGCTCTGATCAAAAGGAAAATATTGTCTAATAGTTTTCTTTCTAGTCTTTGTTCTCAAAATGAGGGTTACTCATGGATTACATAATGTTATTCTGTTATCACCATAACAGGCATCTAGAAAACTTGGTTTCCCTGTTCTTTATGGCGACGGTTCCCGTCCAGCAGTTTTGCAGTCTGCTGGCATTAGTTCTCCAAAAGCTGTAATGGTCATGTATACAGGGAAGAAGAGGACAATTGAAGCTGTTCAGCGGATTCGGCTTGCCTACCCTGCGGTACTTTTTTCACTTCCAATCTCTCTCCCCCCACAAATACAAACACATACATCCACATTTAGGGAAGGATCAAAGAAAAGGAAAAATACAAGTTCAATCTCCAACTACGCAGAATGCTGGTTATGAAATTGTGAAAAGAAGAAAATAAGAAAAGAATAGTAGTAAAGGTTTGCAGACGCACAATGTACATTTTGGGCAGATTTTGGTAATTCAAAACCTCTTCTACATTTCCTCAAAAGTGTAAAAAAGCAAAGGTTCTTTTCCTACCTTGTGAAGCTCCAACTCTTCCTGAGTTAGTTGAGATTGTCATGCCCATACCAAACATAGAAAAGTATGAAAATTCATTTCAACTTCTTATCCAAAGAAATGAAATTTGCATCACAGTGCTAATGCCTGGATGAAAACTCCACCTACTCTGCAGGTCCCTATATATGCCCGTGCTCAGGACATGATGCATTTGTTAGATTTGAAGAAAGCAGGTGCAACGGATGCCATTCTTGAAAATGCAGAGGTACATTGAATTGATCCAAGGTAGATAACTTCCAATTTTGGCAGAGATTCTCACTACGTTTTATTTTGCAGACAAGTTTCCAGCTTGGCTCCAAACTTTTGAAAGGGCTTGGTGTTATGTCTGATGACGTAACGTTTCTGAGTCAGCTAGTACGAGATTCGATGGAGTTACAAGCTCAAGAATCGCTAGGGAAAACTGACGATCAAGATTCAAAAGTGATGAAGCCATTGCAGGTATAAATGCACAGCAACAGTTTACATCTATATTATGAGGGTTGGGATCCTTTGGCCTTTTAATGATAGCACAGAGAGTAACTGCAAATGATCTCAGAAGTGTTTTATGGCTTTTAAGTATCTTCTATGCGTTCACCTTGTTTTGCCTTTTTGTCACGTATGTCAAAATAATCATCTAAGAGCGACAAATTCTTGACATTTAATGAAACAATGTGTCTTTGAAGGTGAGAGTTGCAGACTTAGTTGAGGCTCGTACACTAGTAAAGTCGGCCTCTATCAAAGATGAACCCCTAAATGTGGACATGACAACTGAAAGCTGCATGTCAAAGTCGCAGTCGGGAGTCGGTCAGTCATCTCATGATAGCGAGCTCAGTCAGTTGGAGGATATAGAAGGCAGAGGTGTTTTGTACTGTGAGATAGATACTGAAAATCATATTGGAGCTCACCTCGACAATATTGATTGAAAAGATTCTGTAACTATGAGTTACAAATGAGGAACCTCATTAAACCTTATTGGATAGTACAGTGGACAAAACTTCAGATTTTTTTTTATTCTTAATGTTGTCTAGAATTGTCTGATTCTGGTCCCATGTTTATGCTGTGGAAGTGCTGTTTTGCCATTGAAGGTAGTTGAGTTTTGCAGTTTGGAAACAGTAATATGTGAAGGGGCAAACAGAATTGGAAGCAGAAATTCAAGGATTTTGTACAAAGTTTAATTTTTTTGTGGAACCTCACTCTACTGTATATAAACTTATTGTCAAAAGCAGATTGCTTTATTCAAGCAAATGTTCTTTTTTTCAGCATTTCTTTCTTCATAATCAGTAATATCTTTTAATGTTTTCTTTTTCTCTGCCATTTTTTTTTATCACGAATTATCAGACAAAAATCTAACCTTGGAAGGAGAAGCACTTGATCAAACACCCCACAATAGCATCCAAGAATGAGCAAGATATCTGAGCTTAATAAATGGAAAACCTACACGAGTTTTTCATATTTATATCACAGCTAGAAGCCTAGAACCCAAAAAAATGTTCAAAAAATTCGTATAACCAAGTAAAATTTCAAAGCAGTCGCGTGTTCTGATGAAACATATCACAGCCGAGTAAAAGTAGGGAAAGAACACAGCCCGCTGCCCAGTAAAAGTAAGAAAAGTAGTTACCTTCCCAGATATCATCAATGCAGGAAGTTTTTTTTATTCAGTCATGGGAGCAAAGAATTCCTTTACGAAATTTATGTGATCCAATGTACATATGAGGGATATGCTTTATTTTCTGCGAATCTTCACTAGATAACTTATCAAGTCAGCATGAATTGTAGCAATATATTCTCTTAACATTTTGTAAAACTTGACAAGAAGTGTTTTATTTATATAACTATTTTTTTTTTTGCTCGAATTACTAGGTGCATGTTTGGAAAGTTTAAATTATAATTTAAGCCGATAAAAAAAAATACTTTTATTCACACATTTCATAAGATTCATCACTTATAATTCCTTAAATTTTACTCCCAAGCATACTAAATTTGAAAAAACAAACTAAAATTTATCCATTCACTTAAATTTGAAATCTATTCCCCCAATTAAAAAAATCCTCAAGCAGTTACATTTTTTTTAATGGAAAAATATATCTAAGGATTAATGGTTAATTATACCAATGGTCATTAAAGTTTTGAGTAATTACACAAATTGTCACTAAAGTTATCTTAGGTAACAATAGTTCAAGTTTTTAAGCGTTACATTAATGATCATTCAAATAAAATTATTAATACCAAATCCTACGTCACCATTTTATACATGTTACAAAACATTATTTATTACGAGTAGCCAAAATCATTGTTAAAAAATGTGAATCCACTGTACGATTTAAGTCCAAAAATTGACCAGACAAAAGTCGCATTACATTTTTCATTTGAAATGTGGTGAATACTCAATGTCTAACTCTCTAATTTTGTTGACTTATTGAAATATATGCATGTTTGGGCCATGTTAATTTAAATTAAAGTTAAACAATTAATATCAACTACATCTTTCATGAGTCCCACATCTTTTTAATTACACATTTCAAAAACTTTTATCACAATCCACTTAAAATCTGATTTTAATCTACACAAAACACACTCTTAATGTCGTTTCGTGGCATGTGGATGCCTAATAGTGTCACGTAGTTTGGATCGGACGACTATTAATATAAGAGCTATAAATTTAAATGATCATTATTATTAAAAAATAATTTCAATCATCATTAATATAATTATATAAAATATAACAACCTCAACTACATCAACACTCATTTGACGATCCAAAATCGAACCTGAAACCTCCACCAGTGGCTGTGATTCAGAGAAAGGCATGGCTACAGATCCACCTCAACCTCCATTAGCTCCTAACCCTTCTTGGTTTACTCCCAAAAGGTCACTTTTTTGTACATTTAATGTGTATTTTTGTGCATAAAAGTGCTTATTATGTGGTGCTATGCTGGGTTTCTTGATTAATTCAATAAATTTTATGTTTTGGTGGGTTTATAAATGTTTGTTTAAAAAAAGGGGGGCAAAAAGTGGACTCTTTACACTTGCCGGAGGAACTAATATTTGGAAAATAGTTTAGATTTTTTGGTGTAATTATTCGTGCGATGATGCTAACTAAATATATATAAATCTAAAGGGAAGATATTTTAGTAGGATTTTCATGAAATTGACTGTTTATGAGTTGGGTGGTGGAATGCACATAATGATTAGGGTTTTTGATTTTGAATTAATAGTAGATCAGGTAATGGAAGGGATGGCAAATATTAGGGTTTGATTCCCAATTAATTTTGAATTTTGTTGAAGTTCAGTTCCTGTGATATTGCAGCTCTCTAAATTATGGGTGATGTGATTGAAGAATGGGAATGCCTATCATAAGTTGTATTATTGAATAATGCTTGTTAAATCTGGAATTTGTTGCATCAATTAATTGTGTTTTAATATTTCCTTAGTTTGATTCAATTTGTTTCTCTGGCAGGTTACTTGTTATCTTTTGTATTATAAACTTACTAAATTATGTGGATCGGGGGGCAATAGCAAGCAATGGCGTTAATGGGAGCTTGCAGACTTGCACAAAAGGTGGTGCATGCTCATCTGGTAGTGGAATTCAGTAAGTTCAATTTCAACAATTGGTTACTATTTTTAATGCTACACTTTGTTCAACACAATGTTCACCTTTCTCTGACATACACAAATCCCTAACCATTTTACGTACTCTTTATCCTCACAGTGAAGCTGTTTGTCCAGCGATATTACCATATATAGCCCTTGTAGTTGTTAATGGCAAGAAAGTATTGAAAGGAGAAACATGAGGGCTCCTAATGATTTTACCCTTGGCCTATTCCCACTAGTCTATTTTTAAATTTAGAGACATGGGGAGGGAAAGTGACAGTGGAAAATGAGTATTCCCCCTTGTTTGGTAAAGAAAGGAGGAAAGGAAGAGAAGGGGAACCTTACCTTTCCAAGCTCTTTTTATTCCCTCCCAAATATAAAATTGAGGGATTGAAGGTGGTACAGAACTATAGCTATAGCTTCAAGATTTGCATCACATAGAACAAAAATTACAACCTTCCCCCTCTCTCTCAAAAGAAAAGAAATAAACCTAAAGGAGAAAAAGGGAAAGCAAAGGAAGAAAGAACTCCTCAGCAGGATGAGGCAATATGTATTGCTGTTATTATGTTATTATCACATACTTACAAGTGGAAGATGTCCTTCTAGTTGTTAAATCTATTGAAAATCAGCTCTATGTATGGGTTTCTGCAATGCAGTGCCTGAATGCGTTTTGGCCCGTGCAACAGTATCATATTTATGCACATCAATTATTCTCCAAAATCCTGCACATTTAGGATAACTGCCAAATATATAATTTTGCATATACTTAGCCTCACTCTATCATCTCTAATTCAATGCAGGGGTGATTTTAACCTGAGTAATTTTGAGGATGGGGTTTTATCATCTGCTTTCATGGTTGGACTCCTCGTGTCCTCTCCAATTTTTGCATCGTTAGCCAAGAGGTAATCAATTTGGGCTAGGTACAATTTTTTCTCTCCCCATCACTGCCATGATTTATATCTTGAATAGTGTAAACGATAATCGTCGAGAAGTAGAATGTGGAGATTAATCAAGATAATATGTACATGGAAATGACTTGTGTTTTATGAAGAAAAACTCGAAGGGCTGTCAACAAGTAGAAACCTTTCCGAGGTTGATATCCATTCAGTTGATGGGTCAAAATAATAAAAAATTACAATGTCAAGTGAGATTTCTTAACTCTTTCTCTAGTACTTATTGGATTGGATCAGTATAGGATATGAACTTTGAATTATCTAGTCTGTCCAGCAAAATACCATTTTACCCTCTTATGTCTAGCTATATAGCATTAGAATTACGACAAAATGCGATGATCTTTCTTGTCTGTTTATTCCATTACACTTTCATGTCCACAATGCCTTGTTTCCAGAATTACACTTCTATCCTAATACTGACATTGAAAGAAGAGAGGTAGTTAGAAGAATTTGCTGATGTATCTTACTGTATTGAATTATTGATAGTTTGATGCTGTTTTTTTTCTAATCTATCTTTCGGTTCGTTCTTTGTCTACTTGAACTTGGCAGTGTCAATCCTTTTAGGCTAATTGGAGTCGGTTTGTCTGTCTGGACCTTTGCCACTGCTGGTTGTGGTTTTTCATTTAATTTTTGGACCATCACAATTTTTCGCATGTAAGTAAAGTTCTTTCATACACTCAGAGGCTACTTTGTATACCTTTTATTGTTTACCTTTTCAAAATTCTTTCTGTTCTTTGGATGATTGTTTATTTAGGCTAGTGGGTGTTGGTGAGGCTTCTTTCATAAGTCTTGCAGCTCCATTCATCGATGATAATGCCCCAGTTGCACAGGTGTGTAGCCTGTTCAGACTTATTTAGCATGATATTTTGCTTACTCCGTGTGCCTTTTTTTTTTGGCTACACCCGCACTTAGTTATAAGTGACCTTTTCATCAATTTTATGACGAACCATGATTCCCTCAAGACATGTAGGTTGGTGCAACTCAAAAATTGAAGCACATGCCCATGAGTTGATTCCTTTAATTATCATTGTCGTTTTCATGTTATTACAATTTTGGGGTTTTGAAAAGAACACGAGTATTTGAAGGATAAATCTGGCTATGGAGTAATGAGATATTGGTTTTCTATCCACAGTATCAGCCATTCAAATGTCCCTAATGTGTTGATGTTGGTTGTGTCAAACTTAATGCTGCCATCTTATGCATTGATTTTACATTTTATGTTCTCTTATGTCAGAAAACGGCATGGCTAGGTGCGTTTTACATGTGTATACCGTCTGGTATTGCAGTTGGCTATGTTTATGGTGGATTGGTATGTATATTCTTGACAATTGTTTTGGCTGTTCCCTTGGAAAGAAATACTTTTACTTTTTCATTATGATTAGTACTTTCAAATTTATTTCTTTATTGACTTTGCTATGAGATAAAATCTCATTACATTCTCCCTCTTATCTCCATCTCCATCTTCGTGTAATTTTGATTTTCTCCACTGTATTATTCCTTCTTTCTATATTTACAGGTTGGTCAATTCAACTGGCGTATCGCATTCTGGGGGGAGGCAATTTTGATGCTCCCTTTTGCTATATTAGGCTTTGTGATGAAACCTTTGCAGTTGAAAGGTCCATATTATGTCATTGCCTTGCTTTGATCCCATTTTCTTTTCCAGTTATTTCTTAATAGTTTGCTCATGCAGGTTTCTCTCCTGCTGGATCCAAAAAAGCATCAATATTGCCGGATGGCTCGGAAGATCAGGGTGCGAGATTTTACTGTTAACACGCATTAAGACCACGCGACAAATTTTTTTTTACCAATCTTTTCTGTTGAGAAATAATTGCAAAATCAGGCCTAAAGCTTACGGTGATAGGCTCTTATCTGGATACAAATCCTTTGAAATGTTTTTTTGATGTTTCATTTGCCTGATAAATAATTTGTCTCTGAGCTTTTGTGGAGTGAATTATTTAAGACTAATAATGTCCCGAGATTGTGGAGGATTCCTCTAAATGCACTAAAGAATAACTTTCCATGTTTGGAGAGTTCTGATTGGTGAAGAGCTGGAAAATTCACCATCCCCCCACCAAGTCACCAAATCCACCTGATATAGTTGGGATATGAGTCCCCTCAATTGTCAATGGATGACCAAATACACCCGATAACAACCAATTGTAGTTTTGTGCAAACAATCCAATGAGCATCACCCTAAAAGGAAAAACCCAATAAACATCAGTCCTGGAAAAGAAATAAAAGCCCTTCCCTACCATCCCCGCAACCTCACAACCTCCACCGCCATCCACCTTCTCATTACTCTGCATCTGGAAGTTGCCCTTTCACAGCCATCACTTAAGCTGTGGAATTGGTTTGGACATCCCTTTAGCCCTTTTTTTTCCTGGTAGTATATTGTTTTGAAAAGCATGTCGTGTGCTACATAATTTACATAATGGCTTACTATGAATGAATGCAATAGATTCAATTGGTGAGGATGGCGAACTGTTCACAAGAGAAGCAGCAGATCAAAGTTCAGGACCTTTTGGGTGAGGAATTTATTGAGCTCATTGTAAGATATCAAGACTGTAATTAATGAACATTTAGTTTGAATATCATTCAAGTATGTCTGATATTTAACGAGATCACTTCTTGAGATTAAATTAATCTGTTAGTAGTACTCCTTGTATCTAATTCAGGTTAACAGTTGCTTGGAATGCAAGTGTTTGGACGAGATTTTGGGAAGACATGAAAATTCTGTTGCTGGATCAGGTTTATGTTGTGAATGTTCTTGGTATATTCTTCATCCTTCCATAGCCAAAATCTTATACACTAGTCACATCATATGAATAATATTTGGAGTGGTGATTTTATATCCCCTTGTTTGGACATCTGTAGCTGAAAAGTGAGCAATGATTACTGATTTACTGTAAATGGTTATAACCTCTAAAATAAGCATGTTGATTTGCTAGCATTCAACATCTTGATTTTTCTATACTATTGCAGGTTACATAGCATATAATTTTGTCATAGGTGCGTATTCCTATTGGGGACCCAAGGCTGGTTATAATATATATCACATGGTAAGGTTTTAGCGTCCTTTGAACTGGCAATTTCTCATTGTCATTATTAAATGTAGTTTTTCTTATACAAAAGACTTGTGAGTTATTTGACATGAAACACCTTTTTTCTCGTCACAAAATTTATACTATATAATTTAACATTTGAAAATTGTTTTACTTTTACCAGAGTAATGCAGATATTATGTTTGGAGGTGTTACAGTAGTTTGTGGAATATTTGGAACGCTAGCAGGTGGTTTTGTCCTTGATCTTATGACTTCCACAATATCTAATGCTTTTAAGGTGCGCCCACTTGCAATGTACTTTTGCATAACATTTGGTTGAGAATCTTAGTTCATATTTAGATTTCATTCTTTTGTTACTTTCAATTTACGTAAAGCAAATGTTAATACACTAATGAACTCCAATAATAATGTAAAGAATTGTGAATACACTAATGAACTCCTTCTAGAACAGTTTGTCTCCTCCAGCTAGATGATGATATAACTTAGAAACTTGATGAACAAAGAGGATAAGAAGATACAGATGCACGTTGCAATGAATCTTGACTATTGAAGGCTGAAATTTATTGAAGCCAACATTGCTCCGGATACTGCATAATTCTTTTGGTGACACTCAAGGGACTATTTTTTTGAGGTTAATAGAGGACTGCAAAATAGAATATGTAAACAATTGCACGCAGAATAATTTAATTACTGGAGAGTGTGCAATGAAGAATAGTTTCATCGAATATTAATATGGATTAGACACCTAATCTCGAGTACTAAGAGCAATAACATGGAACGGAAATCAATCACAAGTAAAACCTTACGATTTATAGTAAACTCAATGCGAGAGCTACGTCCACTTGCTGTTTCAAGATTTCACTATAACGAAGGATATTACAGATTTACAATCAGTTCTTGACTTGTGCCTCTCTTTTTACTCTCTACCATGGCAAACTACTCGCCCTAATACCCTTTATATAGGGAGGACATAGTAGGTCAATCCATGTTCAAGGGGAGAAGTGAAAACATAATTAGGCTCAACACATCTAGCAATACCACAGAATGATTATGCACACATCTGACAAATATCTGCCTCTTCTGGACTGACCATCTAATGAAGCATCTAAGATCCAGTGTTCTCAATTTTTCTATTCCCCTGGTTCATTTTATTTCACCCTAAATCTTATGCCTCGTCTTTGATGCAGCTTCTATCATTTGCAACATTATTTGGTGCAATATTTTGCTTTGCTTCCTTTTGCTTTAAGAGCCTATATGCTTTCTTGGCTCTTTTCTCAATAGGAGAGATGCTGGTATTTGCCACTCAGGTAAATTTTCTATTTACTGAATCTTGTCAATGCCACATGTAGTCTATCAGTCTGATAATAGATAGATTGCTAATATGTTATAAATTTGAGCTGTATTATTTTGCTAGTCAGGATATAGTACATAGGTTCATTTTTCAATTCATATGCAACATAGGACAACGATTATTTTTTGATATTTGGCTTGGATTTCAAGTGTAAGGTCAAATGAACCTGAAATATGGTTCTCGGCATATCACTTAGTAATTCAAAAACCTGTTTATTTTCATTGACTTGAAGCCACCTTTCCTTTTTATCAATCACGTCTTCATCAACTACTGGTTCACACTAATATGTCATATTGCCACTGCAGGCTCCTGTAAATTTTGTGTGCCTACATACTGTCAAGCCTAGTTTGAGACCACTATCTATGGCTATGTCAACCGTTTCAATTCACATTTTTGGTGACGTGCCTTCTTCTCCTCTTGTCGGGCTTATTCAGGTCTGCTTAGTTTCTGTAATTGATTATTAATAACTCTGTTATTCCCCGATACAGTCACTATTTATCTCTTTCCTTGGGTATTTTTGTGAAGGTTCATATATTCCGTTAAATTGTTGCTATATACCACTGATCAAAAGAAAACACAATAAGCTCAATAAAGTAATTTTTTATATCTTGTACCATTAGACATGCAATAGAAACAGGGAAATCAAGAAAAAAAAGTTGTACCTTGATAGACTTCTCGAGTGAAATTACTTATCCTCATATTATATGATATTCTCCTGATCAAGATTACTTTCTGCAGGATCGTATTAACAATTGGAGGGTAACCGCTCTTATTCTAACATCCATTCTGTTTCTGGCAGCTGGAATATGGTTTATAGGTACCCATGTTTTGTCATATTAAGACAGTAAAACGGTTGATGGCCGATACTTTGCCTATGTTTGGCCCCTTTTTATCAAAAGCTCATTTTTTCAACACTCATTTTCAATCACACACTCCCATAAAATAATTTTACATATAAATTGAAACTTTTTTTTATTTTTTAACCACACATTATCTGAGAAATCACTATTCCAAAATATACATTTTCTTACAAAAATGGGTCTCAAACAGGGGCTTTAGGTATTTTCAAGGCCAATTTGTATTTGTAATTATATTAAATGCCACTGGTTTGTCGCAAGGAAATTTATCCCTTGTTTAATTCCCATTCTTTTCAAATTCTTTTTTTTATAGGATCATTTTCAACCATACATTCACACAATAAAATATTCTGTATGTAAATCCAAAACTTTTTTGCAACTTTTTAACCACACATTCTCATAAAAAACTATTCAAACTCTCTTTTTAAAAAGAATGGGCACCAAACAGGGGCTTAGTAAGAAGTGACAAGCCGACCTTTACTGTTCTTTCTTCTATTTTCCCATTTAATGGGATTATCTTATATATCGCTTGGGCAAATTTGTTGACAACTAGAATTGAAGGTTTTTCGAACCCTTGTGCACTTTGGCAGGAGTGTTTCTTCACAGTGAAGACAAGTTTAACGAAGACAGCAATCATCCTGTTCCTACAGTTGGTAAGTCGGACACAACTCCATTGCTTGAAGAGAATAGAACAACAGCAGAGATGGCATGATCTTTTCTTTATACTCAAATCCTTGCAAGCATATACAGTTGGCGAATTACTGTCTTGATGCTTCTTTTTGGGTGTAAATAATATCGTATTGTTGCTCGAAAACGTTAATATGTATATTACTCTTCTGGGAAGGAAAACAAAGAAATCTTGCCACAGCTAATGCAATGCACATTTTTCCAGCCAACTTTCGTTTCTTTGATGATCTATCATTGTAAAAATTGTCTTATATTTACCATGAAACATCCTTCGCTTTACAAGACTTGATCACTTTTACTGATTTCAACTACATATTGCCTGTACTTAGAGAAAATGGATTAACTTGAGACTGAAGGAGAATGACTTGTAATTTTTCATCTCTTTCAACCATTGCAACTATTACATGTTTGCGTAAAATTATACTTCGTTGATCTCTCGGAATGTGTGGATATTAAGTGTGTAGTAGTTGTGAATGCATATATAACTAATGTTGACTTCGATTTCAAAATATAAGTTGATTGTACAAAGCTGATCAAACATCATTTTTATTTACGCATTTCATAGGATCCACTGTTTATAAGCACATAAAAAAAATATCAAACAAGCACAACTAAGCTTTTAGGTGGTAGAACGGGTTATCTTGTAATAAATTGGAAGTAGCTATGAATGTATAGACAAAATTAATGCTTAACTTTGATTTTAAATAATAAGTAGATTATACTTATAAGTTGATTAAACATCATTTTGTTATTACACATTTAGTAAGATCCATTGCTTATGAACACCTAAAAGAATTGAACAAGCACAACTAAGCTATTAGGTGGTAGAATGACGCCTCTTGTAGAGGGGTATTCTTCTCGAGGAGTTACAAAATTTAAGGCTACCATTTTTTCTTCTGAATCGATAAAATGCCATTTCCCCCCTAGAAGCCAGAAGCCAATTGTTCAGAATTCTGTCTTAGATTGATGACTACCGAGCTTCCCGTAGAAGTTTATGATGGTAAACTATCTCTATTCTTATCTATAGTTGATACTCTGGATTAACTGGTAGCTAAACCAAAGGGACAAATGTTCATCCGGATGTAACAGTAACATAGAATTTAGCTCAAAATCATGTATTTCTGGAAGAAAAGAAAAAAAATTCCTGATAAATTATCCCTCTATCAATTATCCAATGCACACTTACAAACACATAAAATTGGAAGAAGAACTGATTTCAATGTGATACAAGAAGAGTTGCGTTTGCTGAATTCGTGCATCTCAAATACAATATTTTGGTTCAATCTGGTTATTAAATACCAGTAGTTTAGTCTAACCTAAAGTACCCCAAATGTTACTATTTATACAAGTGAAAGCTCACCAGGAGGAATAGATCTTTTCACAAGTTTAGCCCAAGACTCGTTGGTTTTGGTGATAACCTTGAGCATAATCCTACAATTGAAAAACAAGAGGGGTTGTGAGAATGGTTATTCATTACTGTGACATAGCATGCGAAATTCCAAACCTAATTTTTAATGCATTGTCAAATGGTTCAGTATTTACTGTGATCAGCACTAGATAATTCATTATATAGTCTTCAATTAACTCCGCCTTAGTTTTCGTTTTGAATGATTATAAGGCCCAGAATTAAATATATTTTTGATTCCTGCATGCCTTTTTTCCACTCTTTCCATAGATTTTCTCAGTTCTATTAGCTAATGGAATTCTCTAGGTCTATGATACTCGGACTCTTCATTTTGGAGGACGTATTTGTGTTCATATAACATGACATGGGTATTGGGTATGGGTATGAGTATGGATCCCGTGTCGGATCCTTCAGTTGAGAAGTGCACAAGGCAGAAACATGGAAGGGAGATTGCCATGAGAGAAAGCAAAAGTTTCAGGGATATAAAGAGTGGGCCCAAGATTTTTAAAGCAATAAAATCGATTTTGAGGCATAAAACCAAGATTTTGGAAGGCAAGAAACAAGACCATTGAATGCAACACCTCCTAAAAACTGCATCTAAAATCATCAGTATATAAAATTCTAAAAAAATTTATGTTTTTAAGACGTGCCCGTGTACATGTCCAAATTTTAAATCATTTTTAGCCATATCCCCATATCCTAAGTTTCAAAAGAAAAAAGATCCGATTCCTAGATATGTATTTGTACACGAAGCCGAGCAACTAGCTCTAGGTTTCAGAGGAAGAGGGATAATTCAGAGTAGGCTATTAAGACTGCAGCTCATTGATGAACTGACACCATTATGGAAGTTCCAACATAACTAAATGCTATTAACTAAAATTTTTCACACAAAAAAAAAAAAAATTGATATTTGCACCTCAATGATTCTTTAGTAACACGGGCAGATGAAATTTATTCCCACGCATTAAACTTGAAGAAGAGAATAGAAACTGAGAATTGAAGCTTGTCATAGAATTTAGCAGAAGCAAACAGAAACTTTGGTCATTGAGTAACAAGATACCTTGTTTGCTGCCTTGTTGCCAAGACCAAATTTGTTAGCAGGTTCGCCATCAGGGATTTTGCAGTCCCTAAACCAGTCTCTGATTGCAGTAAGAGTTCCCTGAAGAAAATCGTGAGTAGTTCCAAATAAATGACACCCAGAAACGAAAACATAAAATTTCAACTCAAACTACCAGAACCAAAATTTTAACAAAAAAATCTTTATACTCTGATCAGATCATCATATACCCCATTCTGAGAGATTTAAATACTAAGTCAACAAAGTGAAAACATAATGATTAATGAGCAATTAAACCTATCACAGAACATTTGAATAAACAAACTAATCAATATAAGAAAACATTACAAATATCAGCTCAGGCTTTTGTAATTGTTAACAATAATGATACATACATTAGGAATAACATACCGGGAAATGTTTCTCAACATCATCAATGACACTGACAAGGGAAGCTCTTGGATCATCCAGTGAAATTGCAACTATTTCCAGTCAAGTTCTCCCTCGTCAATCATTGCTAAAGCAGCCACGGGTTTCACTTTCAAAACTTCCCCATATCATACCCCAATCTCAACAACATCAACTACGAAGGAAAAAGTGTCATCTATTAAATTTAACTGTTGAACTCACTTTATTTCTATTTTCAACCTTTGGTTGGAGACAGATGAAAGAAGGTAACTTAATGACAGAAGACAACTGAGATGTTGAAAATGGTTACTCTATACCAGGATCATTATCTCCAAATGCCCCCTCAACTTCGGAGTTTGAAAATGAAGGGTCTTCCCGTGTTTGCGGAAGCATTCCATAATTCCAATTTATGTTGTAACTGGGGAAATACAATATAGCGGCTCAGATAAGAAACACCAAGCACAAAAAGCATAAATTTCGAAAAAGAAAAACAAGCATCAGGTAGAGAATAATCAAAATGTGTACTGAATCATACCAATTTCTTGTAACGACCCAAGCCTCTATAACTAAGCCGTTATATTATATGTATTGTCTGTTTTGAGAGAGCATATGCACATATTACCCCTCCCGATTTTCTATTGTGTCTCCATGATTCGAAGTTAAGACCTATGCCTTTGTACCAAGATTTAACTTAAATCTTTCATAAGAAGGACGTCTTAAGTTGAATTTTGGGGGACGCGATAGAAATTTATTAGGGGTAAGATGAGCAAATGCTCGTCAAAGACAAACAATACATATGATACAATGGCTTGAACACAGAGGCTTGTGTCGTTACAATTCCAAAAGAGAAGCAAGTGTAATAGCTTCAGTTTGACATATTTAATAAATGCAACTTAGCCCCGATTTGGTACATATTTTATAAAACTCTGTTATTCCCAAACTTATTTTCAACTCCACATTCTTTCAAAAAATAATTTTGCACGTGAATCCATAATTATTTCAACTTTTTAACCACATTCTCCAAAAATATCACTTTTTCCAAAATCTATTGAAAAAAAAAAAAAAAAA